ATGTCTGCAAGAAAACCACCAAGCTCAGAGAGCACCAAGGACCCCACAGTTCAACCCTGAGCTACAAATATTCTCGTCTATCAAGATTGAAGTATCCCTAGCATTCCTTCTGACAAGACAAATAAGAAACGAAGCTCTTGAGCACCTTCTGCATTCAACTCAGCATTCAACCACCATAGGAAGTTAGGCCTGGAAAAACAACAAAGGCATTGCACCACAAGGGAATCATCCAGAAATCCAGAAACCAGACCGTCATTAGGCAGATGTAAGAAGAGCTGCTCGGAAAGAAGTCATTTTGGGTAGCCTGCTTAGCCTGTAAGCGGGCTTTAATGAAGAGAAGGCTTCATATATGTCAGAGTATCCCAATGACCGCCAAAGAGGACAACGGGACGTATGGCCATCCTGACTCTTTCAAAGGAAAAGGAGTCTCAAGAGAAGGCATTCTTCACAAGTTTGCAAGCTGTTGCATTGGGGTGGGGAGAAGGCAAAACACCAATTAAGTGATGCTGGGGAAATGATGCTGGTGTGAAATCAGCCATCCATGAAATAAGGACAGGGTGGAGATACAGTATTCAAGCAAAATACGTTTGAGAGACGGGCTGAAGAAAACAGTTGCAGACTGACAATTGATTTTTGAGTTGAACTGAAATGACCTGTTTGCATTTCTCCTTTCTCAGTGTTTTTGTTCCTCTTTTACCAAACAAAACAGACTTCCTCCCTAATCCATCTGGGTATATTTCTTTTTCTCTTGCTTTGCGGCTGGGCACAAGGGAAATACATCTGCTCTGCGTACAGAAAGGCTAGTCGATTAATTGTATCAGTTACAGCCGATGAATCAGTTACATCTATCTATGTCAGGGGTAGGCAACCTTGGCTCTTTGATGACTCGTGGACTTCAACTCCCAGAATTCCTGAGCCAGCCATGCTGGCTCAGGAATTCTGGGAGCTGAAGTCCACGAGTCACCAAAGAGCCAAGGTTGCCTACCCCTGATCTATGTGCATGTGTGCTGCGTGTGTGTAAACCTGTAAGTTTTGAAAAAGCACTTACTTTCTCTATTTTTAGATAAAGCTTTTATTTTATCCAGCTATTCTTTTCAAGCCAAACTACATGGGAATCTGTAGCATTTACTTTTTTAAAAAAAAATTAAGGAGCAAATTTTTGCATGAGAATAAATTACAAGTGATTTATGACTGTGATTGAGCCAGGAATTACAGTTGTAAGTCATGGCGTCATTAAGCGGGTCACCACCTGATCATGACCACGTGATGTGTGCAAGTAATTTGTCTTCTACTGTATAATCACTTCTCCAGGTTCTGCGACTTTTTTGCCTTTTATTTAATCTCAAAGCATAAAGACTTTCCCAGATTGGGAAAAATGGACAGTCAAGGAATTAGGGAAGAAAGAATGGAAAGAGCATAAGAGATAACACCGAAATCACCACTATCGTCCTTTGTCATTTCCCAACAAGAAAGGAAACTAAAATAAGGCCACCAAAAGAAAGGGCAAAGAACTTCTCAATCACACTTAGAAAAAGGTGGAAGAAAGGTAGCTACTTTGGCGATGCTACATGTTCAGCACACGATCTTGTCAACTAGGCTTGATTTGGTGCTGCAATCTTCCTGGTAGCATCTCAAAACAGAGCCAGTTTGTTGGCTTTGTTTGTTGATATTTCCTTTTGGTGTCACCCATCCTCTTTTGCTTAAATCTCCTTTCTTTGACTTTCCACAGCTCTCCAGTTGCCAACCTATGACTTCACTTCCCATATCTGGTATCCATCAGGTAGTTGGTGACTCCAGAACAATTCCTGATCATGCTGGCTTTCAGTTTAGCACCAGATGGCCCCATGCTGGAGAAGGCTGCGATACACAAAACTGGATATGGAAAGAGGTTTTCACATCACCACAAACAACCAGCCTGACACCAGATCAGTCAATTACTAAGAGAGAGAGAGAGAGAGAGAGAGATGAAAACTGTTTTTCTTACTCAAAGGAACGGCTCTTAGCTCCTTACATTGCATGAGTAGACAAAAAGAAAGCTTGAAAATGTGAGTTTCACCGATGGCATCATAAACTGGGTTTGCATTTGATGCCCAGCAATTAGATTTGTTTTTTTTTAGATTTTCATTTTTATTTTGCAATGATTTCTTTATTACAATGAAGCTTGGAAGGCTGTTCTCAGAGTTTCTTCCACAGCCAATGGAAAGACATACAAGGCAAGTACGTCAGCCGTTGGACATGTTGGACATAAGGTTAGCAAGGGTGAATAAAGTGGTCACTTACTTTCCCTGAGGTAACTGAGATGAGACAGCAGGACTTCTGTGTTGTAGAGGGAAGTGATCCGGAGGAAATCCTCCTTGTTCATCTTGCACAGTTCTTTGCCGTCCATGTTCTGGAAGAGGTTGGTATCAATCTCCATTAAGCCATATTCTTTAATAGCCCAGTCTAGCCACTGACGCACATGATCCTGACTCCATAATGTGGGATCTATCAGAAGAAATCAGAGAGGTGGAAGGATGAAAGAAGTTACATGATTGATGGCCAATACTCTTGTCAAGAAAGAGCCGTGGTGGCGCAGTGGTTAGAATGCAGTACGGCAGGCTAATTTTGCCAACTGCCAGCAGTTCAAGTCTCACCAACTCAAGGTTGACTTAGCCTTCCATCCTTCCGAGGTCGGTAAAATGAGGACCCAGATTGTTGGGAGGCAATATACTGACTCTGTAAACCGCTTAGAGAGGGCGGTAAAGCACCGTGAAGCAGTATATAAGTCTATGTGCTATTGCTATTTTCTTGTATCTCTTTTTCCAGTTTCATTTTTACTGGAGAGGAACGGTTAAGTGAAATATTACAGGATAGAGGCATGTAACTTAACTGGGCCATGGACAGGGTTAATGAGGGATTTGTGGTCTCCAACTGCTTTTCTGTCCTTGTGGTTGCTGTTGCAATCTTGAGAGTCCCCTTCAACTGTGCTAACTTTTGAGACATTTCTGGAAACTGTGGCAATACATTTTTCTAACATATCTCCCAAAACCCGTCTTCCTATTTCCCCTCCCACAAATCTCCAGAAAGTCCCAAATCTGGACTATTTCAACAAAATCTCATCCAACCTGGCGTACACCTTCCCCAAGTTTAATGAGGGGGAGGGGGGACATGATAGCAGTGTTCCAAGACCTCAGGGGCTGCCCCAAAGAAGAGGGAGTCAAGCTATTCTCCAAAGTGCCTGAGGGCAGGACAAGAAGCAATGAATGGAAACTAATCAAGGAGAGAAGCAACCTAGAACTAAGGAGAAATTTCCTGACAGTTAGAACAGTTAACCAGTGGAACAACCTGCCTCCAGAAGCGGTGAATGCGCCAACACTGGAAGATTTTAAAAAGAAACTGGACAGCCATTTGTCCGAAATGGTATAGGGTTTCCTGCCTGAGCAGGGGGTTGGACTAGATGACCTCCAAGGTCCCTTCCAACTTTATCATCATCATCATCATTATTATTACTATTAAAAACACGTACTATCAAATGGAATAGTGCAGAATTGACATCTCTACCCTTGACTAATAATCACAATTGGGACCAGAAATTCTATTGTTAGCCAAGGTGGTGGTTAATGAGTCCCATCCGGTTTTACCACCTCTTTTCCCCACAGTTGTTAAGTGGATCACTGCAGTTGTTAAATGAATCATGCAGCTGTTATGTGAATCCAGCTTTCCCTATTGATTTTGCTTGTCGGAAGCCAGCTGGGAAGTTGGCAAAGAGCAATCCCGTGACCTTGGGATGATGCAACTGTCATAAATACATTCTGGTTGCCAAGTGTCCAGATTTTGATCACGTGACTCGTTGGGATGCTGCAACAGTTATTAGCACAAATACCGGTTGTAAGTCACATTTTTCAGTGCTGTTGTAACTTCCTATGGTTGCTCAATGAATAGTTGTTAAGTCGAGGACTCACTGTAAGTACTAAATACCAAAATCATCATCCTATTAGTAAGCCTTTTTGGCTTACTTCATTACTTACTGCTGGCCCATTCACAAAAAAACTTTTGTTTTTTTCAATCCCCATTCTCCAAAGACTATAACTTATGCTTTGCTTTGTTTTCCTCCTGATAACTGATCTTTCAGATCTTTGGAAGCTAGGGATTTCCAAGCTGTGTTGTCCAAATTGTTTGAACCTTTGCTCAGCCCCTTCCAAATTTTGCACAGATGGTTATTGCAATTTTTTTGGGAGCGCTGTTTATTCGCATGTTCCAGAAAGTAGTAAATTCTCTGCAGAATGACCTCCCTGCTCAGACAAGTTTGCTTTATAAGTCTGAGTCATATTTCCAGGCTCAACTGCCTGGCAAAAAAACACACTTTTATTCCCACCCACTCACCCTTTCGTTTTGCAACTCTTGAGGCCTGCAAAGTCAATACAGATGGACTAAGGATGAATATACAGAATTGGGTTCATGACTGCGTATTAGGGGGAGAATTGCTATAAATGGTGGTGATTTAAGAATGGGACAATTATACCGATGAGGGTTGCATAAAAAATGGGAGGTAAGGAAGAAAGGTTGCTGCTGGATCATGCCAAAAGTTTTTCTAGGTCATCATTCTGTGGCTGACTCAGCCTTTGGGGACCAAATACATTATGCTATTATTAGGTCGTCATTACTGGCAAGATCATACAACTGGAAGACAGAAAAATGTCTTACTGCTTTTCCCCAAACTCCAATATGTGGGAATTCAGCCAATAGGCAACTTACAAGTCATTCTAGCTATGAATGATGGGAGTTGAAATCCAACATATTGGAAGAACATGGGACTGGAAAAAATCTGGTTGACTCATTGTCCCTGAAGTCCATTATTGTCCACCCCACCAGTTGCTCTTCAGGATTCTGGTAATCTTTTTAAACGAGCATACACCAAGTTATTTAGCCATTAAGTAGAAGCTATAGGATCATCCCATACATCATGGTGTCCTCCAACAAACAACAAAACTTAAATTGTGTCCTTGGTGTCATCCTAATGATATTGTTGATGATAAGAATTCATTAAACCTGTATGCTACCCAGCTCTCGATGATCTGGGAGGTTCACGACAATAAAATAAATGACAATAATATGAATAAAACGTAAAAATTAAAGATGAAAGATGGCCAGCATGATGACACAAAGGGGTCTCACTCTCCTTCACTGAAGGGCTGGGAGAAGAATCGAGTCTTCACGGCTCCTCTGAACAATAGCAGAATGAGGGCCATCTGGGTCTTGAGGAGACCCCATTCCAGAGGGACACTGCTATAGAGAAGTCACAGAAGTAGTTGAGAAAAGACATTGTTTAATCAAAGTAACCTGAAGAAGGCCAACCGTCCAGGATCAAACTGGCCAGGCAGATACTACAGGAAACAATGGTCCCTCAAATAACCAAATTCTGTGCCATGATGATGTCCTAGCATGGCTTTCTCAACGGTTTCATATCTGAATGCTTCAAGGATCAAACATTTCTTGTTTGAAACTGTTACCTCATTCCTGAAAGAGAATTCTAATTTTGAGTGTTTCAAGATATTTTTTTTTAAATCTCAGAATGACTGAAAAAGATCCTTTTGAACACAAGGCAGCCATGAACCTGAAATGGACAATGTTGACTTTGAGATAGCTCAAATTCAAAATGTTTGCAAACCTCCTATTTCAAAGTAACAGTGAATTTCATTCCTGCTAAAACGCAAATCCCGAAGTCATGTGCTTTTTATTACAATGGGATACTTTGTCAAAGCTGATCTATTTCAGAAGAGCCTTTTATGAGCATATAAATAAATGTTTATAAACATTTATGCGGATATTATTTGCCGAGGTCTAGAAAAAAGGTTCCTTAAATAACCTTTTGCCATTATTTTTGCTTACTGGAAAATATTAGACAATATTTGCTCTCCCACACACATTGCGGATTTTTATATATTCAACATAGATTATGTGGAGTTTTGTTAAAAAATATTATCTAATATAACTCCTCCCTTAGGGAGGTTTCTACCAGGCTTCATATATTACTTTTTTTTTTACTGAATTACTTATCATTAATGTCTGTATTTTTATCTGCATCCTGTGCTATATTTCTCATGGTTGTTATTAAAAATCCACAGCTCTGCTAAAAAAAGAAAGAGAGAGAGCCAGAACTAAACACAAGATATTCTGCACCACAACTCACTTGTCTAGTTTCTTCTCCCTATAAACGATGTCTATTAATTCTTGAAGTTCTAATTTTACTTTCACATACAGCTCAACACTCCTGGAAGAATTTTTTTCTATGACCAGTAGTAATATTTATTCATTGATTACATTTATACAGCAGTCTATCCCACACAAGGTGACTCTAGGTGGCATACAACTTCACACAAATGGTGCACAGTTGCTGCAATATGGGACATCATGGATTGTGCACAACCTGGGACCTTTAGTTGCTATTTGTTAAACATTTACTTGATGGGTAAGTCCTATTTGTCCCTACTGAGTTATATTTCTGGCCATGCATGCATAAGATCACACTATTAGTAATTTGTAGTAATGTCTATGGAGATTCTCAGTCATCCAGGTCACAGTTATCCCAAAGTTGCTTTTTCACGAGGCAACTGGACTTTCTTGGTTTTTTTTTCTTTGAAGACATTTCACTTCTCATCCAAGAAGCTTCTTCAGCTCTGACTGGATGGCAGGGAAAGGGAAAGATTTATACTCCTTGCAGACAGCCGGTCATTTGTCTTCTTTTAGACCAGTCCAGTTGCCTCGTGAAAAAGCAACTTTGGGACAATTCATAGTAAGGCCTATATCTCCATGCTGTAGATGAGTCTGCTACTCGTTTCTTATTTCCTTTTTTGTATAAATTTTATTAGTTTTTATGGGGTTAGGAATAAAGTGGGGTCGGGGTTGGGGTTGGGATTTAGATTAGGGTTAGGATTAAGGTGGGGGTTGGGGTTTTTCCAAATAACATTCTTAATATTTAGCAAACAGCATAATGTCTGGGTTCATGTATTTAACAAACAATAATAGATAATAGTTAATTATCATAACAATATATTAATTAATCACTCAATAGCCTTCTTCTTGCTAATATATATTCAAAATTACAAATCACGTTCCTTTCTAATTCGTCTTTCTAGCTATTGATAGAAATTATCCCATGTTCTAAAGTACACTGAGCCTTCTTTCTCTTTTATCTTTAAAGTCAATCTATCCATTTCTGCACACTCTAGAATTTTCTTAATCAGTACTTCTTCAGCTGGTAAGTTTTCATTTTTCCAGTGTTGGGCAAATACAATTCTTGCTGCTGTTAGTACGTGTAGTATTAAATATCTACAATCTTTCTCATAATTGGCTCCTATTATTAGTCTGCTACCCATTTCTGAAGACTCAACTCTTGATGATGTGGAGAATCCACTCTCCTGTTGGTTTGTATGCTTGATTTTTTGGGGGGAAGAATTCATACTGATTTCAAGACCAAATTTCAGTAAGGGTGAAAATATTCAAAAGAAAAGGAGGTGGTGGCATCTTACCTGCTGGAACAATGACTCTTCTCTCATTGGTGGTCATGTTGGGAGGGGGAGGTCCGTTCTTCTCATCTATGTAGGTACCATAATTCAAAGGGTTGGATTCTGGACCAGCACCAACCATTTTGTTGCATTTGTTAACACTGCAATCCACTGGAGATTCCCTGAAATATAAACACAGTTGACAGTACAATATTAACTCAGCTTTGCTTTTTGGTTTGGGATCCTCTTGCCAGCTACAAATTAAAGCCAGAGGAATATATTTCTTCAGGGCAGAAATACAGTTAGTCCTTGACTTTAGTGACTGTTCAACAGTACCAAAAAAAAGTGTCTTAGGACCGTTTTTCACACTTATGACCATTGCAGTATCCTCAAGGTCACATGATCAAAATCCAGCTGCTTGGCAAAATATTTGCGGTTGTCCTGAAATCAAGTGATCCCCTTTTGCAAACTTCAGACAAGCCAAGTCAATGGGGAAGCCAGATTCACTTAACTGCCATGTTACTAACTGAACAACTGCAGTGATACACTTAACAACTGTGGCAAGAAAGGCTGTAAAATGGAGCAAAATTCACTTAACAACTGTCTTGCTTAGCAACTTAGACTTTGGGCCCAGTTGCGGTTGTAAGTCAAGGAGTACATGCATAGAAATCATAGTTCCCTGTATCTGTACCAGGGATAGAAAATGTGCTGGTATCAACAGTGGGTAGGGTAATTATAAGAGTTTCTTTAAAGCCATTAGTGGATGATTACTCAAGTACATAAATATCTTCCCCCTACGTTACTCAACTCACATGGTAAAGTTAGTAAGAGAAGCCCTGCTTATGGTGTCACTCAGGATCTGAAGAATAAGCTGCTCCGAACCTCAGTTCCCTCCATGGATTCACAAGGGCTCAAAAGTGAGTTTCCCAAGACCCAGAAACTCATCGTCTGGAGCCCACCTCTTCCTGAGATCTAACAACTGGCTGGTCTAGACAGACCTGTATCTGATCCAGCACAGGCATTATTATAGTCGTATACTTTATCCACCAGCACAAGTCGAGATGGCCTTTCGTTTTATTATTTGGGAGATTTAGGCCATCACTATTCAGAAACCTAGGAGAGGGGATTACAAGACCCCAAGGGTCAGCAATATCTCTCTACTGAGACACATGTCTACTTCCATCCTAATGTCCATCTGACAGGTCAGTAAAAGACCAGTAGGGAAAAATATCCCAACCAGGCACAGAAGAACCTTAAACTCACAAACAAAATGTATCAGCCGGATCAAACGATGAGTTCCATATCTATCCGTACTGGTGGACAGATCAAGGTCTTCTTGCTATGCTTCATCTATGACATTTTCTCTGAATTCATGAAGCATTTTCACCTGACACAACCAACAGCCACAAGAAAAACAAGCTTTGAAAGAATCCAGTCCATTCCATAAACAGAGAAGAAGAACATGCCTGCATGGTTAAATTCCCATCTGCTGAACAAACCTGGAAGGATTTTCCAACAGAGAACTTTAAATTTGTTTGCTAAGGCACAGAGTCGGAATTATTCTAGCATAGTTATCATGGCTGGGAGATAAACGTTCTGCTGAGATATTCAGAGGCAGACGGTAATTTTTTCCTCATGTCTTTTTGGGGCGAAGGATTGCTTGGAAATGGAAATAAGATGTATAACTTACACATGTTAGAACTTAAGATTGTCCTATTTCGCCTACTGTTTTTCCAGGCAAGGAACCAAAGGCAGTCTTTAGAGAGGCAAATTGCTGATCATTTTAATGTCCCCGTGACAGGCAGAAAAAGGTTTAAGCAACAGCAGCAGGGAAGAGAGAGAGAGAGAGAGAGAGAGAGAGAGAGAGAGAGAGAGAGAGAGAGAGAGAGAGAGAGGAAGAAGGAAGGAAGGAAGGAAGGAAGGAAGGAAGGAAGGAAGGAAGGAAGGAAGGAAGGAAGGAAGGAAGGAAGGAAGGAAGGAAGGAGAACTAATTTCTCACTGGTGACAGACATTCTTTGTGTCAGGTGTTAAAAACTATAATGGTTTTGGGAGTACAAAATGTTTGGCATCAAGGGGATTATAGTCTTCTTCAAAGCACAATTTGATTGCCAATGGACCAATGTTGAGAGACAAGACAGAATGTCATTAACTGCTACTATGTGGTAGATATATGTGTTTAACTCTACCTGGATCTAAGTCAAGCTTTTCCAACTTGGTGCTGCCCAGAGATATGGGCTTTGGAATAATTTTGTGCATTTCTGCATTAAGCAGAAATGGATCAGATAAATAGATAGATAGATAGATAGATAGATAGATAGATAGATAGATAGATAGATAGATAGATAGATGATAGATAGATAGATAGATAGATAGATAGATAGATGGATAGATAGATAGATAGATAGATAGATAGATAGATAACCTTTATTGTCATTTTTTACTGTGGGCACAATGGCACACATTAAAAATGAAATTTAGTACGCTTGCTCTCAAAGCATACACATATATAACACACAGTTAAACATACTATATACAACATATGTATATACTGTACCTACACCCTTACATATAAGTAACATATAAATATTAATCACAGATGATCTATGAAGTCCCTTCTAACATGTATCTTACACGAATCCAAGAATTCCTAGCCAGCTTAATTAACCTTGGAAATATTGTCTGAGAATTCTAGAAATTACAATCAACAGTATGTCTGGAGACTGCCAAGTAGGTAAAATCTGGTCTAGGAGGGACCTGGTTCTAGAGATACTTTGCCATAGTTAATAACCACTGCAGTTCATTGGACTGCTTACTGGAGTATAGAGGTTGAACTACTGGCCTCGGATTGGTGACACCCAGATTCATGTCCCAACAACCATGAACCTTATTGGTGATTTGAAGGAAATCACTCGTTCAGCCCAATTTACTTCATAAGGTTGTTGTTACAAGGGTAAAATGAAGTTTCAATCTGAACAGCTAGGAAGTTTCAATCTAGTACAGCTATATTAGGAGGTCTGACAGAAATCAGACTTTGATTTGAAAATTATCCTCACCCATAAAGGCAGTCCAGACTAAGTCTAATTGAAGATAAAGGTTCACCACAGATCTGAGACCTGCATGGACCAAGAAGCTGTCCATTCATAAAACGTACCCACAAGATCCACAACTCTGATGCATTTCTATTTCAAATACAATCATTTTTCCTAAAGGTCCATCTACACTGTGCAAATCCCAACCTTCCTTTTGACTTCTTTTTCTTTGGGGACAATAAAGCAGAAGCAGCCATTTTAGCTGCACAGCGTGGGGAACATGCCAATGAGGCCTCCTGAGCTGGGGTACAAGGATAGAGATGCAGGCCAACTTATCAGTCCGTTGAAGGATGCTTGGTGGGCAGACATGAAATATTTTGGAGAAAAGATCTCATGTCAGCCAGGATTAAAGATGGGAATGTCTTTCCAGGTAACATTTGGAAACCACGTTTAACATATAGAACAGGGGTCTCCAAACTTGGCAATTTTAAGACTTGTGGACTTCACGGTTGGGTGGGGAGAATTCTGGGAGTTGAAATCTACAAGTCTTAAAGTTGCTAAGTTTGGAGACCCCTGATATAGACAATCAAGAGATAAGCAGATATTTTATCCCAGTAACCCCCATGCCCCCCAAAAGGAAAGCAAGATAAAGGGAAGGAATTCCACAGATGATAACTAGTTAAGGCCATTTGATATATTACATATAAAAAAATACCTCTGATATCAGTATACTGTATGCCCTGTTGCACACTCACACTAGGTTTTATGGGGCATTCTTAAAATGTCTGCACCAATAAATGCAACATATAAAAGATCCTGGTTTTTGAAATAAAGAGTATTCTTCCGCCAGCATTAAAACTCAGTGTATCTCAAGAAAGCTTGAAGAATATTTGAGAGCTCATTAACAAATTAAAAACTGGGGCAATAAAAATAATAGCATGAGTTACCACTGAACCATGTCAATTCTAACTCTCAGCATTTCTGTATTTTTGTATTTTGAAATGGAATTAATTGGCATTCAGAGAGAAGGGAAGAGGATTTCGTTATCCTTATTGTTCTTATTCTTATTACCTAAGTGATCTGCTTTGCGCCTCCTTTCTAATTGATTTTACACACGAGCTTTCCCCCAGAATCCTGGATGAAGCAAGTTTGGGGAAAAAAAGAAGCAGTACTTGAGGTTAATGGAAAAAATAGAAAAAGAGGGTGAGTGTTTTCTGGAGCCTTCCCAGCTGGCTTGGAGATGTAGGGGGAGAAGGGGCCACCATCACCCCCATATGTGCATCTTATTTTATTTTTTTTGTTTCTAAGTCAGGTTCACTGCTCTTTGAAAACAAGGAGTAACCAAAGAGCCTGCATAACCTAGACTTCTGCTTTGGAAAGTGTTGGTCAGAAATCAAGTGTCCAGTCTTTCCTGCAGCCCAGGCTAAAATGACCAAGGAAATCTGTGCAGCACAAAGTAGTCAACCGGAACTGGGCAGATCCCAGCCTCTGCCCATATTTACAGCAACACCAGCACTGTGATGTTGTACACCATTCACAAGGCAAGATTTGTGTTGGGCAAAGAGGGAAAACTCTATTTTGAGGGGTCCTTGGTGCTCTCTCAGTTTGGTTGTTTTCTTGCAGATGTTTCATTACCCAAACTAGGTATATCATCAGAGTAGCACTGATGATGTTACCTAATTTGGGTAATGAAACATCCGCAAGAAAACAACCAAACTGAAAGAGCACCAAGGACTGTACAGTCGTCGTCGTCGTCGTTGTCCTCCTCCTCCTCCTCCTCCTCCTCCTCCTCCTCCTCCTCCTCCTTTTCCTCCTCCTCCTCCTTCTCTACCCCACTCCCTCTATCACCGATGAGGTTACCTAGTTTGGGTAATGAAACATCTGCAAGCAAACAGCAAAGCTTAGAGAGCACCAAGGAACTCTCATTTCAACCCTGAGCTACAAATATTCTCCTTTATTGGAAACACTATTTAAAAACTAGAACAGGTAAAAGCAAATATTGGTTGTCTCTATCAAGGACTGGAGATGGGACAAAGGCAGCATAATGAGGCTACATCCTTTAAAATTATAGCATCTTCATGCTATAGCAAATAGGAACTATAGATGAGCCTGTAGAATCAACAACTATTGTTCTGCCAGAATAATAGTAATGAGGACAGGAATTACATCACTGCATGTTGATGAAAGGGTGATGCTACCAAGATGCTATGTGATCACTCATGGGGAAAAGGCATAAGCCAGACAAAAAGTCAAGATGAATTAAGCCACACACATGATGTGGGAGAAACCATGACATAATCTCCTGGTTTTAAGAAAAACTCGTAACACGTATATCTACGATCCCAATATGAACTCAAATCTTAAAACTGATGGGTTTCTTTTAACCACTTTTCCTTTTTGCTTTCTTTCACCTCCAAACTGGTCCTTTAGCAGAAAACTTGGGAGATGGTTCATGCACTTATATTGGCAGTAGAGAAATGCCGCATCAATGATTCCAACTTTCTACACTATTTAAAATTTTGAAAAAAATGAGGGGGTTCTGTGCAATCCTTCATCTCACATAACAGCTACTTTGCACCTTACTCGTGCGTCATAAAAAGGGTTTATTTCCTATCGCCTCTCCTGAAATTATGTTGTCTTAAATTAATTTACTCTCACTAATTTCTACATTGGGATCATCACTGCAAAGCCTTTGATCTCAACCTCAGTCCTTCCATCCTCATGACCTGTTCAATCTCCAAAGTCTAACCTTTTAACTAATCAATTAAGCATTTGTCCCAGCCTTCTTGAGGACATCTTTGTGCCAACAGTAATAATCCAGTCCAGACCTGCATTCAAAAATATTTATCTGTCCCCTAGGTGGGTAATAATTTTAAACTGGTTTGGCTTGCCCAGAATTACATATTGTCCCCATTATGTGCCAGTTATTGTCTTCTGATCTGCCTATGGCTACTGCTTCTTAATTTTCTCATATCAAGCAGAGATACAGCTTCATTGGGAATAGGGATGTCACAGAAGGTTAAAGAGCAACGAAGGAATGTGTGCATGGTTGCAAAAGGAGGAGAAGTCAAGATTCTGAAACAATTCTTGGGCCATGGGCTAAAGGTGTCATAAAAGAGTAAATGCATGCTTTTATTCAAATCTGGCTTAAGGAAAGCTATGCAATGCATACTGATATGACAAGAAATTGCTTTTCCATCATTTCTCTTGATAATGGTTTTATGAATGGATTTGTTTGTGCATTTGTGTGCGTGTATAAGAGAAAGACAGAGTGTCTCTATGTGAAAGGTTAATGAATGGAAGAGAGCCCAGCCATATAATATGTAACTTGCCCCCAATCTCGTCATCTTTCCAAGCTTCCCTGTGTCATCAAGCTGTATATATCCACTTAGCTACCATAGAAAGTCTAGAACAGACATGTCAAACACAAGGCCCGGGGGCCGGATGCAGCCCGCGAAGTGGTTTCATGTGGCCCGCGAAGCCATCATGGAAACAGTGAGGGAACGGCCCCCACTGTCTTGGCCCTGGCTGGCCGGGAGCCAATGTACAATTTTGTGGTGGCCATCTATGCTGAAACACATTCAGTCTTAGCGTCACAAGGCCGTCTAGAAACAGCGAGGAACCAGCCCCTGCCGTGTTGGCCCCGCCCCCTGGGTGCATGCTGGGGAAGTGTCACCCTTTGTGAGGAATGAAGAAATGGACCATGTCTTGGCGCTTGCCTCGGTCCCACCCCCTTCTGCCAGAGACCCTCAGATCTGTCCCACTCCTGCCCAGGCCACCACAGGCACCCTTGATGTAGAGCTGGCCACGCCCACCCAGTAGGCCACACTCACTCCATTCACGCCCACCAAGTAGGCTGCACTCACCCTGGCCACACCCACCCCGCCCCCTGAGGGCAACCACAATGCTGATGCGGCCCTCAGTGAAATTGAGTTTGACACCCCTGGTCTAGTACATCTGAGATACAAAATTTTTACTCCTTCTAGATGGCAGCAAAGTTACAACTATCTGTATATCTTTGCTGCCATCTGGTGGGTAACTGGATATTTGTAGCCCTGATAAGATGTCATGCTGCAGATAGGCACTTGTCCATCCTTACCTGGATCCATTCACATGATCATATTCCCTCTTAACATTGACGCGCACCGGCTGATTGATCCACTCTTGCTGGGGCGGTAAAGGGTTGATCTTGTGTGGTTGACCATAATCCGGGTTCCCTGAGGCTGTCATGTCTGCTTTGGAAAGGTGAGCACCAGCTCCGTAGGTAGAATCAAAGAGTGACTGATCTTCACTCACCACTGAGAGAGCCTCCTAGATATCAACAGGAGAAAGAGAAATTAAAGCAGGTGTTACACCTAGGCTAGACATTCAGCTTACATCTCCTTCTCACAGCTGGCAAAGAGATATCCAGAAAGGCTCGATCTAAAACTGGCATTCACCCCAGAGTTGCAAATTGAACCAGAATCTTTTGTGCTTCCATCTAACCACTGAGCCAAACTTGTGGGTTTTTCACCTCGATCTGAGCACGCTGGAAGAACCTAGAGCAGAAGAGCTGTGGAGAAGAGCACCTCCCTTTATTTTGGTAACCTGCCAGATTAAGAAGAGCTAAGCCATCCTTCTCCAGACGGTTGCTTTATGGATACGTGGTGAAGGTAACTCCCTGAATTTGGAGCTGACAAGATTTTCATGATGGATGGGGGAAAGTAACTGAGTTGGAGTTGGGCTGAGCTAAACGTTCTGCTACATGGAAAAAGTAATCAAGTGGACGCAACTTTCCCCATCAGTCATTTGGAGTGCTATTTTATTCAGCACCACCCATCTGCTGGCGCTTATGGCCAAGGCAACTTGGAAACATATCATGTGAAAGTCAGCTCCAGTGTGCTGTGTTACACAGGAGGGCCAACAATATTTCAATATCGGCATCTGCACGTTAAAAAAATGCCAGCTACGGACAAATGCTGAGAATGTCTGAAATCCTGGAAAGCTAGCTATGAAGGAGAAGGAATCTTGGGTCAATCAAAGGCAATGTCGGCCAATTGGAAGCTTAAGTCCCACAAACAGAACCTCATTTAAAGGAGAATATTTGTAGCATAGGGTTGAAATGAGGGGTCCTTGGTTGTATTCTTACAGATGTTTCATTACCCAAACTAGGCAACATCCTTACACTAGCACTGATGATGTTATCTGGGTCCCTCAAAAATCTCATTTATATCCCCCAGTCCTCCGAAACTTGCATCATTGGAATTCAGGTACAAAATGGCTGACTTTTTTTTTTTAAATGTGATTTTGACTTCTCTTGCCCCTCAAGTAAAGGTAGAAATGGGGTCAATTTGATCCCCGGAAATCTTCTACTAATACTTCTATTCTTAACAGCTCAACTCTTGCCTCAAATGCCTGAAAACATGGTGCTGGAATCCAGCTATTTTGCCAAGTTTGGGTGTCATGGTTGTGAGTAGCATGGAGATATAGTTGGGTGGGTGTCATGGTTGTGAGTAGCATGGAGATATAGTTGGGTGGGATTAAGAAAAGGGAATGATTGGTTTTCTGAAGCTTTTCACATCCTGTGGACCTTAACTCCCCATAAGCCCCCAAATAAGGACAAATCCATGCCTGTGATGTGACCAGCAATGTCATTCACAGCCCTTCAGCTGGTTAGGAAAATGAATTACAGTCTCCGATCTTTGGATTGTTGCTTCCTGCCTTTAAACAAGGATGGTTAAACTAAGGCTCAGGACCATGGATGGGAACACTCACACTTCATAATGTTGCCACCACATTGTAATTTTAAAGATGTCAGAAACAGAAGAAATGACGGAAAAGTGAACAGAAATAGCCTTAGTTGCATTTAATGAATTACATTTAATTGGAATTAGAATTATATGCTCATTATATTGAATCAAATGCATTGTTCCTCCTGACACCATCCATTTTTCTACACTAGCTATATCTAGCAAGCCATTCAAAGGCCGGGTATGTCCTTCATCCCATACAAATTGTATATCTCCTCCTTAAGGGTTTCTCAATATATTTTGGACTTAGTTTGTATATCACGACAAACCTGCCATTTTTAAGATGCTGTAAGTCTTGCTAGAAAAGACAGGACATACAAGAAATGTATACAGGCAACCCTCTATCAATGCTCAAGTTACTATTGACAGCCCCTAAAGTTAAATTTCCATTATTAATTTTCCTCCAGAATGTGAGCAAATAAATAACTATTTACAAGCATCCGTAGAATTCAACAGAAGTCATCATCATGCACATAGGGTTGACCACATTCAACAAAGATGTATCATATATGGAAGAAATAATCATGTTGATCCCCTTTGATAGTACCTCTACAGACATAGAGCTACTATAATATAGTTCCTAAGGTAGTGTGGTATGATATGGAATGATATTATGGAATGGTATGGTATGATATAGTATATATGATGTAGTGTGGTGTGGAGTGGAGTGGAGTGTGGTGTGGAGTGGAGTGGTGTGTGGTGTGGAGTAGTGTGGTGTGGTATGGAAGGGAAGGGAATGGAGTGGAATAGAATGGTGTGGTGTGGTATGAGTAGAATGGTATGGTAGGGAATGGTATGGTGTGGTGTGGTGTGGTGTGGCGTGGCGTGGTATGGAAGGGAATGGAATGGTAATGGAGTGGTGTGGTGTGCTGTGGAGTAGAATGGTATGGTGTGCTATGTTATGGTATGGTGTGCTGTGCTGTGGTATGGTGTGGTGTGATGTGGTATGGAAGGGAATGGAAGGGAAGGGAATGGTATGGAGTGGTGTGGTGTGGTGTGGTGTGGAAGGGAATGGAATGGTAATGGAGTGGTGTGGTGTGGAGTAAAATGGTATGGTGTGCTATGTTGTGGCATGGTGTGCTGTGCTGTGGTATGGTATGGTATAGTATGGTGTGGTGTGGTGTGGTGTGGAATAGAAGGGAAGGGAATGATATGGAGTGGTGTGGTGTGGTGTGGAGTAGAATGGTATGGTGTACTGTGGTATGGTATGGTATGGTATGGTGGTACTATAATATAGTTCCTAAGCATAATTAAAGCATGACTACCACACAACAGAGCAATGGGACCCTTACTTCTACACTACACAATTGTTGGTCTCTGTCTTTGCCCAACAGTCTCGACTAGACCTGAGACAGATGCCTTGTTTTTTTAATATCTTACATGATGTTGTCCTTGGTAGTAGGCCAGTTTTAGCTTTCCTCATTTTTATGCTACATTCCTGGCATATCGCTCTGGGCTCTGTCTGTGGCTGAGCCAAGACCCAACCAAGTTTCTGTGCCGGCCGACACAGCTCAGTCCTGTGTCTCTTGAGGCCAATTCACGAAACAGAGCGCTGACTTTTATATAGGGGTGACTGGTGGAAGGAAGGCAGGGCGTAGGGAAGAAAAACACCTTCAGAAGTAACAGAGGTATGGAAAGAATTCCTACAGAAAACAATTTATAAACCTGTTGCGGGCCAAAACATGGAGCAAGGCTTTAATGGCAAGAGTCCAAAGGGCGAGAGCTTTGCCAGATAATTGAAGGTTTAGACCTGAAGCATTGCAAGGAAAATTCATAACATAGGCATTCTGCTGCCTAACAACCTTCCTCAAACTAATCTTCACTTGGAAGGTCAGGATGCATCCATAGGGCAGAGGAGGAGGTGTTTTGTGATGCTTTTTAAAAAAGTAATATTATGCCTCTGTCCTCATTTTTTAGGGTACCTAAGAGTTTTTCCAAATCTCTTTGAATGTGCTTTTTAATCTCACTCTGGACTGTAAGACAGCTAAGGATGCTATTATGACTGTTTTATTCATGCCTCTGCGTTACTCTTGTAGCTTCTTTAGCTGTCTAAAACTCCATCACAGGATGTATTTGCTCAGGAGCTCTTCTTTGGGATTTAACTGAGGGGTGGAAAAATCATGGTGACTGTCCTTATTAAGAGATAATTGTACAACAAAATAGGACAGGCATATACCTGTCAGACACCTCAAATGTACTAACTGTACTCGTCAGACACCTCAAATGTACTAACTGTACATTAATAAACCATATACTGGGAATCTATGTAGCTCAGGATTCAGTTGTTGGGTTCTTGATATTCTCTGAGCTTGTTTCTCTTCCTGCAGGTAACTTCACCAGTGTCAACGCTGCAAATACTGTATATTCTTGCTTTGACAATATGCAGAACTGTCTGGTATTTATATAGTTAAACCAGCAACTGGGAAAGAGGGAGCTCGTATTCCTATCGGGCCCTCTTTCTTTGGCCTTCATTTAGTGTAGAAGGTTCAACTAACCTTCTACACTTGGTACTGGGGTTTTATTCCCTCACCCTTTACCTTAGAATGTATATGCGTAACGGAAGAGAAGCCAGACCTAAGCATTTCCACCATGCTGTACTGACGTCTCTGTAACCTTAATAAATGCTTTTAGGAAAAATATGCCTGAAAGTCCTTTTAAGTATTTCGTTAATCAGACACATGACAACCAGTGCACTGACGATGTTACCTAATCTGGTGATGAGATGTCTGCGGGAAGCTAAGCAAACTCAGAAAGCACCAAGAACTCAACTGGCAAAGCCATATTAGGGATTGATGCAATGTGCAAGTTATTTCAACTTTAGTTCATGATGGTGGAAGATGCAGTGTGCAGACTTTCACTTGTGATCTTCAAGATTTGATCTATATTTAGAGGAAGCAGAGAAGACAGGACAACACAAGCCTGAGACCCTCTGTGGTTTATTCTTAGAACATGAAATTGCAGCATAACTTTGTAGTTCATCCCGATGATTTTTATCACAGCCGTGAGACATATTCCAATAAATTCATCACATTACTTTGTGAGAGGCAAGAAAGAAATGGAAAATCACTCATATGAAAGCAATGAAATCGGGAATGCATATCAGGAGTTCTTAATTAACTTCCTTTTTCCTCTATCGCAACAGTCATGCAAAAGATAACAAAGTTATCTGTTAAAGCCAGAGATGGGTGGTGTGGGAGGACTTCTCTAGAGATAGAAAGAGAGCAGCTCAAGACAAGGATATAACTGCCACTTTGTTTTGTGGTGGACTTGGTCATTTATTTTATTATTTGCACATTGTAGTAATAAACATCCTACAATTTGCACATTGTAGTAATAAACAGTAATAAATTCATAACCTCTTCCACTGCAGCACTTAAAAACAATAACTACATACTTAAAATATGAGAAAAGGCAACCGTGTAATTTACATCATTTCCCCATTAATACAGCATTTGGCTGGCCTCGGCATATAGTCATGTTGGCCACATGACCACAGAAGCATCTTTGGACAATGCTGGCTCC